ACGCCGAGCAATGTCGGCGGACTTACATCTTTGACCCTTCCCAAAAAACAACCTCGAATCCTCGGCCGCTTTCGTCTTCGCCATGCGCCGCAAAGCGGCGCTGGTCGCCGCGCTCGCGCTGGGCGGCCGCCTCTTCGTTGCGCCCAGCGGCGGCGGCGCTTTCCGCAGGCCGCGCCGCGGCGCCTCCTCCGGCGCCGCGCGGCGCTCCGCGCTGCCGGAGGTCTGGGACTGGGTGCCGCACTTCCAGCTGGTGCCCTGGGCCTGTCCTCTTTTGAGTTTCTTTCTCTCTTTTTCCTGGGTTTGGGGATATTGGGGTTGAAGGTTTTTGGAGGGGGAGGAGGCTTTGGTTTTGGGGTTGAAACTTGTTGGAGGGGAAGGATCTTGTCGTGAAGAGAGAATATAGGCTTGGTTTAGCAGAGCCAGGCTTTTCATGTCTGCTACCTTCAAGCTTGAGAAGGTATGAAGCTGTCATCGCAAAGTGCCCTAGGTTTCATTTACATACAGCACACTTCTGGGAATCATCTCACCCAGAACAGTTAGTCTTGCCATTTAGTCAGACTTGACCGAAGGACAGCCACATTTTTTCTTGGTGAACAATCTTTCCCGTGTAGCAATCCCCAAAATGATCAGGTCAACAGGCAAAAAAAAGGAGAGACAAGTCGCAAGGGGGGCAAAAGGAGCCACTTCCTTCGTCTCCAGTTTACCAGAGGCTAAACGGCTTCTCTCCGGAGGTCTATCAGGAGTCTTTGTCACCTGTGGCGAATCCACCATTGTTGTCAAAGTCAAGAGTCTTAGTATAACACATCAGCAACAGAAGCCTGCAAGTCGCCTGGGTCAGAAGTCTTCGGCTTTCCTTCTTTTGAAAAACACAATCCTGAAAAACATGAAACAAGGAAACATATATGTCTTCGGCTTTCCTTTTGAACCAATTAATCTTAAACAAGAGACACATGACTCGACCACCAGGCCACAGGTCCTTGGAGGCTCCTGGGGCGGAGGGGTGCCGGCGGAAATCCCGAGGTGGACCCCGCCTGGGCGGGGGATTGGCAGATGCCCTTGCCGGAGCTGGACCCCAACGCCCAGCTGGGCCCTCGGTTGGGCTCCGCAATCGGGTCGGCGCCTCTTTAAGGCGGTTCGGTGGCCCTTGAGTTGGCAAAGCCCCTGTGTCTAAGGATCCTTGGCCATAGGTTTTCTACCAGCGTTTACATATGACCCTGATTTATATGACGATGACGCGTGCTTGGGGTTGGCGAACACGATGACGCCTTTTTTCGTGCTCATGTTTGAGATGCCTGTTCCTTTAGGCCGAAGACGAGCCAGCGAACGACACTTCGAGCAAACAAACTCCGCTTCTTAGCTGTTGAGCGGCTGGGGCACTCAGCCACTGGGGAGTGGCTGAGTGGCTGATGCTGCTGAAGGCAAACGTCAACCAAGGAGCAAACCTGCAAATTGTTGCCAACAAAATAGTTTTGTGTATATCTGACTATATATATATATATCTTTATGTACAAATATATGCGTATAGACAGATATTTGTTCACTGTCACATTGATATTCACATGAATACTCAAAAGGCACGCACAGTTCACGTTTTTGTGTGAGAGAGGGACCCCCGAGGTACCTCTACGGTGCTGACGGGGAGGTGCTGCGAGATCCCTCCAGCGCCTGTGCTCAAAATGGGATTCATGATTCCGGGGTGGCAAAAAAACAAAGAAACGAGCACGGGAAACAAAAGAAACCAAGAGTCAGCTGACAGGAAACCAAGAGGAAATTGCGAGAAACGAGAAGAGGGTAAACGCGAAAAACAATTTTGAAGAGTACCTTGGTAAGGAGCCGTTGGGTGGTGCAAAGTCGACTTTGCGCGAGGCAAGAAGCCTCTGACGGACGACTGGTTCAACGCCGCTGTAGGCTTCCAGGCAAGCGGAGGGGATGTCGCAATGGCCAATCAGGCGGTTTTCTTAAGTGTCTCAGGGTTCCTAGATTTCCCTTTTGAGGGGTTTCAATCAAGCTGCCTTTTGGTGCATTGGTAAAAATACCCACGGTCCCCGTGGGTTGCCGTCACCCCCGAATCCACCCTTGTCCTGCCCAGCGTTTTGGTTTAGGGTTCAGCTTCAGGGCTTGGATTCAGGTTTAGGGTGTAGGTTTATAGGGTTTAAGTTTGGGGTTTAGGTTTGGGGTTCGGTTTTGGGTTTAGGTTTCCGATTCAGGTTTGGGGTTCAGGTTTAGGGTGTATGTTTAGGGATTAAGTTTAAGGTTTAGGTTTAGGGTTTAAGTTTAGGGCTTAAGTTTGGGGTTTAGGTTTGGGGCTTTTTGGTTTGGTAGGTTTCGGGTTTAAGTTTAGGGTTGAGGTTTAAGGTTTAAGTTTAGGGCTTAAGTTTGGAGTTTAGGATTGGAGTTTAGTTAGGTTTGGAGTTTAGGTTCAGGGTTCAGGTTTAGGGTGTAGGTTTAGGGGTCAAGTGTAGGGTTTAGGTTTGGGTGTAGGTTTAGGGGTTAAGTGTAGGGTTTAGGTTTTGGTGTAGGTTTAGGGTTTAGGTTCAGGCGTTAAGTTTTCTAGGCCCTCTGTAGGCACTCTGCTAGTGCATGTCTTAGAAGCTCTCAAGAAGTATCGGCTAGTTGTCCGAAACGGTAAAGGAGCCCTCTTCTTTAGCGCCCACGTGGCGCTGGAGTTGTCCCCAGTATTCCTTGCTCGAGAGGACATGGGGAAAATTGGGGCCCGGGTGGACCGACCGCCCCTTGTCAATTGCGCAGGCGGAGATCGTCCGGGGCATCGACCAGGCCTTGCGGTCTGTGGGCGTGCCCCAGGCGTTTCTCGGAGAACCGAAGTGGTGCAGGAGCGACCCCGGACACTGCAACCCGTTGGGTTGGGGCCGGGGAGGATCCCATTACTGGAAGAGGGCCCCCCCCTTGAAGCCAAAAGCGTTTAGCCATCCAGAGGCAAGGGCCATGCCAGGGCCAATTTTCAACCTTGATCCTGGAGCTTTTCCATTGACAAGTCAGGTGCTTGCTTGGCGGGCAGCCATCGGAGAATGGGAAGAGACGAGACGTTGCTCCATCCGGGACTCTAAGCACTACTTGAGCTGCCAACCAAGCGGGAGCCAAACCAAACTCTGAGCCACTTATAGATAAGGCTTTGACGTGATCAGCCACTTATCATAGGGCTTTGATGTGATCATGTAATGATTGCCATTCATGTTGAGTCTTTTCTTCATGAGCCAATCAACCATACTTTGGGCCTTTTTTCTGGTTTGCTCTGGGGTCTCCGCATTTGTTGACACATACTCACCTAGACTGTATTGATGTATTTGTCAAAATCTGTTTGTTTCAAAGTCATGTTGGCCTCATCCTTTTCCAGCCGGCGTCTCCTCGTTGGCATTCCCTGGTCGTAACGCTTGTCTCTTCCTCATTCTCCAGACTCCCAACGAAGCTCGCTGGCTCTTCGGTTGAGGTTCGGATGGACCATCTTCCTCTGGACCTTCATCTTCAAGCTGCTGCTGTACCCCTTGGAGAAGGACACGCTGCGGTCTTCGGCCATGACCAAGATGATCGCCCCCAAGCTCCAGCAGATCAAGGAGAAGTACAAGGACGACGAGGAGATGGCCCCTTTCGCGAGACAGGGCTGTTTCTTTCTCTTTTTTTGCAACAAACATGTGCAGATAAATAAAGAACTTGTTATTTGCTGAAGGGGATGTGTGGGTTGAAAGGCGGTGGGCTCGGGATTCCTGAGATGATTGGTTGATACCTTCCTGTGAACGAGTCATCGAAAGGCGGGGTTCCTTATGACGGCATGTGGGCATGTCCGCAGATCAGACCCATCCTGATTTGAAGTCCAGGCGGAGGCCGCATCTATGTCCGATGTTTAACAACTAAGTCACAGGGTCAATGGAGCCCTGATGGTCTCGACACGCTCTATGCGGCCCCACAGGCTCGACCTTTGGTCTGGTTTCCCAGTTTTGGCCAGCCATGTTTTGTCAATGTATGGCTCTCATGTTGGGTCCTTGGGGCAAGTGAGTGTGTGTGTGTGTGTGTGTGTGCGCGGTGGTGGTGTGGCCATCAATCCTAGTCATCTTCTGGGCAACGGGATGGTCGTCCACCTTTTCATGAGGAATTTACATCATGCAACAAACCAAACACAAGCAACCAGACGATATCTGACAAGAGGTTCGGGCCATCGCGACAACGCCAGTGTCGGAAGCAATTCCAAGACAAACCCGAGTGCTTTGGTGACTTGGTTGCCCGCCGCTTCGGAAACCAACGAGTTTTAGGGGGGGAATGCGTTTGCCAACTTGCTTGTTGAATGCATCCTCGGGCAGCAGCAGTTGAAGGGGGTGCAATTCTATCTACAGGGTTGGGCGGAATTTTATTTCACCAATGAGACCCTGGTCTCCTTGAAATGGAAACCCAAAGAGGAGTCATGTTGACCCCATATGAATCAACCCCAGTTCGTGAATAGCGGGGTGTCCCTGCATTTAGTGGGGAATCATACCACTTTTGGAGGGGCCAACAACCACCCCCCTATGAATAAACTGGTGGGTTGATGAATATGGGGGTGGCTCAAAAAATTGGGGTCCAAAGTAGACTAAAACCTGGGTAACCGCAGCTGTTTACTTTTGACCCACACCCATATGGGGTCGGTGCATTCGGTTCTTTAAAGAAGTCGGCGCATTCGGGCTTATGATGTCCCCAGGGCTTATGGCCCAAGAAGCGTGACTCTCGCCGACGTCTCTACAAAGGTCACGAAGCGCACCATGCGTTTGTACGACATCTTCGGGATCAGCGTCTTCGGTGGGTGCCTGCCCTTGCTGATCCAGCTGCCGATGCGTCTCGGAGAAGAAAAAGAAGAAAAAAAACGGGCCATCTCGGACAAAAGGAAACGGGCGGGGAGACTTCAGATTGGCGGATGCCAGCTATTCACCGATGGCAGGATTCAATCGGCTTGATCATGTGGGCTTGAAACTGGATGGGACTGCTTGTATTCAGCGACTCCAGCTTGCACCAAAGGACAAGCATGTGTGAAACATCCGAAAGGAACCTATCTGCTAGAACCCATGTAGGGTCACCGAATGTATGTCCCAGAGACTCCTTTTGACGGAGGGGCAATTGGGTTGCGAGAGTGTGGCGTGGCGGGATGTTTGCACGCGATCTCTTTCTTGGCAAGGCGACCCTCTCAACAGCTGAAAGTACTGCTGGGCTTATTTGGAGGCTACCGGTTTTCCTCTGGTCCTTTGCCACAATTCCTCGTGGGCGAAGCGAACAGTCCACACGTGAAGGTGGTTTTTGTTGGCGCATTCATGGTAACATTCTCATGCTGTCGGGGACCAATAGTTATGATTGATACTTTCCAAGCAAGTGTCCTCTTATTTGTTTGTTATGATCTTTCCAGATAAACAGCTCGGTGCATCTTGAGCCGGAGGGTTGTGTTGTTAAGGCGAGCCGATATTCAGGTGCTGCGTGTGTTTCCCAGATTCGCAGCATTGATGCGACTCCTTCGAAGTCTGGGAGTGGGAAAGGACTCTTGTGGTTCACGTGACATACTGAAAGGCAATCCTCGGGATTGGCAGAGTCCACCTCCTTTCAGATGAATGCGCAGTTGACATTCCTGCATCCACTCTTGAGAGCACAATGGCATTTGATTGAACAAGGTACGTGCCTTTCAGCGGGGTATCTGTTCTTTCGGAGCAGCTTTTCGCTTAGGATCCCTTGGCTTGCTGGACTTGCAAGCTCTACCTTAGGGACGGAAAACCTGCCTTCAAGCGAACGGAAGAGCGTTGCTTCCCAATACTACACCGCTCGAGCTACCCGGCTACCCTGAAGTCTCCCAGCAACAGCCACAATGGTAACTTCTGGATTTCGCAAGGTCTCTTTTCGGTTTACCTCCATGTCTTAGGGCAGCAACTGCAGACCCCAGGTGTTTTCAGGTTTCACTTGCCAAGGAGACAAAAGGGTCGAAGTCCTTGGGTGAAAACTGGATACGTGGGTTTCCCTTTAAACACACCCAAAAAGGGAACCACCCACCCGAAAAGCTATGATTTTCACAGGGCACCTCAAAAGTGGTTGGTGGACATGTGTCCACCATATCGAATCCCTTGCCACTCAAATGGCTTGACACTCCAAATGGGTTGTTTTTTTTTGGGGGGGGGGGGGGAACTTTCTTTTGGTTGGTTTTCAAGGGAAGCCAAAAGGAAAACCACCCATGTTGGGCTTCTCCTCAAAAAATACGCACCCAAACGGAGCTCTTCAGGATCTTCACGCTCTTCTACTGCTGGCGCCGCCTGGCCGCTGAGAAGTACGAGCACTACTACGACGGCTGGCTGTGGATTCCTAGTCTGTCTCAGCCGAACCCCAACTTCGACTACAAGCTGGACCGAGCTTCCCTTGCGCTAAAAGGCTAAAAATTGAGGAGGGGATGTTGACTTTTCGTTTCGCCCAACAGCTGGAAGCCTCGGGGTCTCTGCCCAGGTAAGCTCTGGTGCAGGGGCTTCCGGGCCGGTTGGGGGATACCACCTGGGCTATTTTCCTGGCGAAAGCGGCAGAACCTGGTTGACCAACAGGGGGAAGCGTTCGGCAAAAGGGAGGGGGGGTGGTTTGGGGTTTTTTGAACGCCGGAGCCGGAGCATTGGCCAAATTTAATTGCTCAAAGTCAGAAACGGGTCGGTCATTTCCCTAATGTTGACCCAGGATTAATAAACCCGTCCCATTATTAGGGGGTGAAAACCCCTCCAGTGATCTGAATCCAACCACTTGGCTGAGCACCTCCCTATGAATGAACCATGGGTTCTGTTTAATCTGGGGTTAACATTACCCCACTTGGACGACACATGAGGCCAGGGATCCGCAGAACGCGGCGGGATCTTTGGGTCAAACAGGTTCGAAGCTGCGGGAGGAATGGGTGGGAAGCGCCGTGGGAACGGGGGGAAGGGTCAGGGCGCGCGGGGAATCTCCGCGTGCCGTTTTTCCGGGACCCAAGAGGAGTGGTGTTAGGCCAGGAAACCCACGAACCCCGTGGCATTTGCAAGTTGCAGCTTCCACTTCCTTGGGCCGAAATGCTGCCATCTGGTTCTAAGCAGTCGGGGAGGATGGGGTTTAGGGGTCGACAGGACTGGCTGCTGCAGTTCAATGAAGCAGGCCCGGCCATCGGCTGGGACATCTGGGTGCGCCAGCTGATCTTGCCGGCCCTGGTGATCTACGTGGCCTGGCTGAAGAACCAGGCAGGGCGCAAAAAAGTCATGGCGGCGACACGCGAGCGGGGTTCATGAATTTGGGAAACCCACGGGCACCAGGGCAGAGTGCCCCCTGGAAATGGGTTTGGAGCTGTTTCAAGTCGATCTTTGATCCCTGGATCCTTTGTGCAAGTGAGGTTGGAGCTCTATCTCATCCTCTATAAGTTGTTTCGGGGGTTTCCCGGGGGGGCACACCGTCTAAATGAGGTTCCGGATTTCACCGTAGGACAGAAGGCAACCATTCAGCCGGGCGAGTGAGGAGAACCGTTCAGGGGACCCGTTTGGCAGATTCTAGCAAACGAAAATCCGATCGCTTTGTATCCACGGAAAATGCATTTGTTCGAATTCGACGCATTGGTCACCCAAGCCATGCGAGCGGAGGAGCCCGGAAGCCCCGCAGACACTCCGAAGAAGGCAGGCCGAGAGGAAGTGAGGGCAACCAGGGGCAGATGGGGAGTGGGACTTTGGAGGTCGCCCTCTGGATAGGGGGGGTCCTTTTGGAAGGATGTTTTTGGCAGGATTTGTCAACAAGAACTCAACCAAGATTATATACTTGCGCATACCTATACCTGCTCGAGACACTTTTGACGACTTAGTTCTATGTTCTTCTGTCTTGTGTGAAATATTGTCTATTTTCACCTGTTGTTTTTTGAAGATGCTCGGTCACTATTGGACATATTTTCATTTGTCCTGGGTTTAAGCAAATTCGGGTTTTCCTTTGCTTGCTTTCTTCCAGCCGTTTCACTCCTTTAGTCGACCCCTGTGGTTCGGATTGGGGATTTGAGCCTTGGGCAAATGCGCCCCACGTCCTGACCGCCAAACCACAGCGAAGGCACCGACCGCGGCGAACGCGTTTGCCGCGGGTTTCCTGGTTAGGACGATAAGAAGAACCCCGTGGTCTCCAACTTGCCGCTGCTGCTGACGGCTTGGCTCACCGTGGAGCTGCCGCAGATCATGTCGGTCTACTACTTGGCCCTGAACTTGGTGGGCTTCCTCGAGGCGCGACGAACGGAGACGACGGCGGCCGTTGGCGTCGGTTTGGCTTTCAGGGCCATGGCCTCTGGTGTGGGTGTGGGAGTTGTTTCTGCTTTTATTTTCCAGCCAGAGACGACGCCAAACAGATGCGGCTCCAAATAGACTGATTTTTGCGGCTTGGTAAGGTGCTGGAGGGGGCTCATAGCAAGAGCTCAGGGGCCAAAGTTTGAACATCCAAGAAAATCCGAGCAAAGGATGAACTTGGGACTTCCAAGTATCAACAGGGCTCCTGCCCCGCAGTGGGTCCAACTGATGTGCAGCCACCATAACTCTGAGGTCTGAACCCGGCCCCTTTGCAATGCGATTTCGTTGGATGAACGGAGATCTATCAGGAATCCCTACCTTTTGGCTCAATCACAGACCGCTGAATGCATTGCAAATTTGGGCTGGAATCTGAGAACCTTTCTGGGAGGTGGGAGGTGGGGGGGGAGCAATCTCTCTCCTGGCAGAGGGGAAAAAAGTGTTTTTTTCCCAAAGGACGGTGTTCCATCCATCAGAAACGGACCAGGCGTGAGAGCCACTTGTTCAGACAGAGACGTGAATCAAGGGCCTGTGCCATCGGCCCACTGCGGCGATTTGTTTTTCTTTTCTCAGGTTGGTTCAATTCTGAGCGGGAAAGGATAAAAGGAGTCTTGCTGAAAAGGCTTCTTTCCAATATAGCTCTAACTAGGCTTCTTTCTAGTTGAACTAGCGGCTTTCACAGTCCAGCAGAGAATTTTTCACTCCGGCCCCGGTTTCGTTGGCTCACACCTGCAGATAGAGATCGTCAAGGTGCAGATCCGGGAGGAGAGGAAAGCTTTAGTTCTTGCGAGCGGGTGGGGGAAATAGATGGCATGGCCAGTTCAAAATTCAAAAGCCAGTTGAGAATTCCCCTGGCCCTGGCCAATTAGGGTTCCAGATGGTTGGCCTGTTATTTCCGAGAAGGTGTAGTCATTTCTTCGGAAGGAGTGATCGGGATGAGTGATGTGTACGTACATATATATATATATCTATATATATATGTGTATATATATATATACAGTACATATTACTTATAAATTCCCCGTGTACTGTTTAACCTGAGTGGACCTGTATCAACCTGTGCAGTGATGTGAGGCGCAGTTGTTTTGCTGTAGGCAGTGATGTACACTCGGCTCCAACTGTGCTAAGGCTCAAGGCCTGAATTGTACATGGCAGCATCCAGGATGTATTGGGATGCATGAAAAATGGATGTAGTGTGTACCAAGCCGTGGAACTTCCCTGTGGGTCGTGGTATCAAAATTCAAGTGTCGAGCAGCTGCTGTTTCAAGCAAATGTTGTATCAAGCTATTTGACTGTGCCGCTCAAGTGCAGAAGATGTACCGCCCAAAAATCGCTGTTGTATGGTCCATGATGTTCACGCATTCTTTGGCCTCTTCGCAGAGGATGTTGTAACCTTGTCCATGCCTATTCACTTGGCTGATGCATTCAGGGTAAAGCTGCTGATCCTGCCTGTAGCACGATCCTGGTGTCCACAAAGGCGCTCGATGTCTTTGACTGCCTGTGCCTGTACCGACACATGGCCTGATGTCCGCAGATGGTGGAGTACTGCATTGTGGTGATCCGAGCTGTAGGCCCAAGTGCTCCATCACCTGTGCCATTGCGTGTCCTTGTCTAATGCTGCCGGCTGAGTGTCCGAAGCGCTTGGCACTGCAGGAAATGTTTGCAGTGCGCAAGATCCGTGGCCAAACAGCTAGCGCCGCAACGGCCCATTGAAGAGGTGCCGAACTGTCTCCCTGTCCAGGCGCACAGGAAGCAGAGTGAAGATGCACCTTGGGTTGGCAGAGTTCACGAAGGAGGAACTTGACAACCTTTGGGATACGGCTCTGAGAGCCTTTGCTGGGGAGGACTTGCAGCAGCCATGACGAGGTTTGCTACAATCAATGTTGGCAAAGGAGGCGTCTCTAAGACGGGAGCCATCCTGAGTGCGCTGTCTGAAGTGAAGGTGAACTTGATGGCGCTCCAAGAGATTGATGTTTTTCAGGCATCATGTGCTTCTTATGTGCAGGAGTGGAAAGCTCATGGCTTTGAGACCTTGCTTGGCGAACTGGAGCACGGCCAAACATTCTGTGTCCCTCGCCTCCAGGTTTCCAATCCGCAGAGTGTGTCTGAATGGCATCTCTTGCCCAGCAAGGGTTGTGACTGGCATGTAGACCAGCATGGCGTGCGCAAGATCCTCATTTCCAGCATTTACTTCCACGCGGCCGACCGGGACGCAGCAGGCATACTTGTCAGAAAAACCAGGAATGCTCTCTCGCAAAGCCGTCTCGCTTGGATTATACTCGGGGATTTCAACATGACACAGGAGGAGGGCGGCGTTCTCGAGCTAATTGCTAATGGTGACGCTTATGGCCTTGACGATAGCTTTGGAGCAAGCCAAGACCTGCCCCCTACAAGGCAGGAAGGGCACCGGCGACTTGACTTTGGCTTGGCCAGCAGGGGTCTGTTTGCAACCAAGCTGATGCAGGTGCCGGGTATTTGCGATCATGACGCTGTGGTTTACGGCTTTGAGTCCTTAAATCACTTGGATGGTCTTCGGGCCCCTCTTCGCTCCAAGGAGTCGCCTTGCTGATGACCTTTCCGATGCTGCATTTGATTTGCCCCAGTTTTCCTGGACCTTGGAGAGAGGTGACACCAATGCCGCGTGGAGCATGCTGTCGGACCTTGCAGAGCAGTTGTTGTTGCCAGAGGCTGCGAGCAAATGTGGGAACCACGCTCCCAGGGCTGGATCTTGGATGCCTAGGCAGTCTTTTGGCCAGCAAGGGAGCACAGGCTGAAGAAGCGGCGCATCTCAGAAGATTGCGCAACCTTCGGCGCTCCGCTGAGCTAATTCGCTGTGAATTCCCGGAGGTGTACGCTGATGCAAATAACCTTGAGGAGAGCTGCCAGGCGGTAGAAGAGACAGAGACCATCGAGCTGAGAGAAGGTGAGGAGAAGAAAGCCCGCTTTCAGGAGTGGAAACTTGACCTTGCTGGTAACTTCAAGAAGCAGGCTGGCTGAGTCTGTAGCTCACTCAAGGCGTTGTAAGCTGCAAGCAAAACAACTGAACCTCTTGAAGAGAACCTGGATGTTGTGGTGGCAAATCACCCAGATGTGAACTGTCAAGGTGCCACCTCTTGTCGTAGTGATGCCGCACGTGGAGGATCTGGTATCCCCTGTTGAAGGCACTCATCTCACATCTCCTTCTTGCTCAACCGGGAAATCATGTGCTTAGCTTTGCTTTTTCTTTGTGTGCAGCCCAGCATTTGCGTTCTCCACGCCTGCGCAAGTGAACACTCCGCACCAGCTTGCGCGTGAGTGCGCTGTAGCTGCGCGCCTGTCTCCGATGAGCCCCTGGCGTGAATCTTGTGCGCCGCTGCCATTTTGTGCTCCTAGCCTTAAGTACACACACACAAGGACTAGCAGTCCTGGTTTCGTTTTGAAACCCGCTCGCACCGCCGCCATGGACATGCTGTTGTTCCGCCTTTGCCTTGTCGCTTACACCGGCTTCGTGTTCATTGTGACTTGCGCCGGTTGCTGGCTTCTCTTTCACCAGTCCATCCGCACCGTGCACCACAAACCTTGCCCTGTGCCGATTTACATTCTGCCCAGGCGCAAAGTTTACCATCATAAAGGCTGCCATCATCTTGTACATCGTCGCCTTGTACAAACTCTACCAGCCTTTGGTCACTCCTTCCTTTTCCATGCGACAACCTTCCTTTTCCATGCGACAACCTTGGGGGAAAAACAAGTCTTTTCCCGGGCTTAGTGTGCGCATTTTGGGCTTCATGCTGCTGCAGACCCCTTTTCTTTCGCAGCCTTCCGTGCAGCCTAGTGCTTCCGAAGCCTTGGGTCATTTCGCACTTTGTTGCCTAATACTTCGTTGAGCAGCAACATGGTGCAACCATGCGCTGCCCTATGGCTTTGGCCACAACCTCAGCCACGCATCCTTGAGCAGGGTTGCTTCCTGTGTGACACCGCGTGTCAGGCATTCAACAGGCTTCCTCAGGGGGGCCTCGATGAGACCTCAGCCTTGTTTAGCACGCCCCTAACATGCAGCGCACCTTCCCTGCAGGGATTGCAATCACCTGACACAGCGTGTCAGGCACTGCTTGCCTGGGCAACCAGGCAGAGCGTATTTGTGCAGGCACGCAGCTAGGGCCACCTCACATGCTCGGTCCTCAGCCGCGCTAGGTGATACTTTGAGGAGATGCGCTTCGTCCTGCTCCGAAGTAAGTGTCTGTGTAACACTAAAGCCTTGTGCCTTATCGCTCTTGCCTTGATTGAAAGCCTCCGTACGCTTTCATGGCTGTGGGCTTTTCAGCTAGTCATCGCTGTGATTTTACCAGATCCAGCATGACCTGCTTGCCTGTGCTCCAGTGATGCTTCAAAAAACGCAGCGCTTACGCACACATAGAGTGGAGACAGGCAACCAGCAGTGAATCTGACACTGAACAAGCACTGGGTGCATCTGCCTGGCATTCCCAAATGTCGCGATTTGCTGCCAGACAGCGTTTCTAGCTGGAGTCTTGGGCTGCTTTACAGTCAGAAAGATGCGATGAGGTCGCGCCCTCTTTCAGCACCTCAAACGCTAAGTCCTTGGAGTGGCGGTGGCGGGGTTTTAACGCACGCGTTGCCAATTCGCTTCGGCGATCACCCGATAAACTTGGAACGATACAGAGAAGATTATGTGGTGAATTTGCTTTTGTCACGCAACTGGCCCCGCGGGGCTATTGCGGCTAGTCCCTTATCACTCTGACCGACCGCCATGGGTGTGCGAACTCAGTGCAACTTGCATTACTTTGTGTTGTTATGCATTCACACGCACTGCCGTGCATGCAGAAGCTCGGCCCTGCTCGGCGTGGATCTCTTAGTGAATCAACCGGCTCACGCACTGGACAGGAGCTTTCTTTGTGAGGCAATGCAAGCTGGCCTTACTTGGACTACGTCTTGCTCAGGGTGGGCTTGCCCTCAGACTCTTTGCATTTCGGTCGCCTTCAGTCTCTGTGCAGCTTCGCCATTGCCTTTGCCAACAACAACCAGGATTTCCAGAAACAAAAGTCTGGAGGCTTTCGCCTTAGCCTTTGACTGGCCACTGACCCAGGATTCCGTGACTTTGCGTGACAGCATCTTCACGAGCACTCTGAAGCTGCCTTGGTGTCGTTGAGAAATGCACGTTCTGAGCCTTGCCTTAACTTGTCCAACTGTGCAGATGCAATGTTGCGCTCGCTGAAGAGGCAAAGCAGTGTTGTAATGGAAGCAAGCGGACTGGTGTTGAAGATCTCCCACAGCGGCCTCTTCATGTTGGCCTGTAGTCAGTGAATTCACCCTTCAAACTGATGTATTCCCCTGCAGAAGGCGATGTACAAACCATTGTTTGTATCAGCGCCTCCTTGCGATTGACACACCTGATGTTGTAAACCCCCACAGAGTTCAGCGATGTAAACAAGTGCGTGTCGTAACGCTATGTAACAGGCGCGGTCAAGGCTTGCATGTCCTTTGGTCCGATGTATCAGAAAGAACGTACCTCACTGATGTAAAATGGTAAAAGGTGGCGGCATGTGTCAAATTTACATCATTCTTCGACATGTGTCGTGCAGAAAACTATGGTAGGGGGCTTGTAACACTCCCAGAAAAGATGTACCATGTCTCCGGATTTGCTCCGTGAAACCAAGTTGTAGCGCTTTCACTTTAGTTGTAGATAAGGAAAGGTAACCTGTGCAACTGATGTTTAAAATACTGTGCACACTGTGTGAATCTGCTTGTGGTGGCCTCACAGGCAAACTGTGTAAGGTAGCTTATCATGTTGGTTCCTTGTTATCAAAAAGTGTTGGAGCTTGTAGTGATCTTGCTAGTTCTTTTGCTCCATAGCTGATGTCTGGTCATGTGTCTGCTAGCGATTGTATCTTGCCAACAAGCCGCCTGTATTGCTTGTGCTGTTCGCAGTCGAGCGGTGGTTTATCTTCTGCTGGGCCTTTCATGTGACACTCCTGGTGCCTGGTGACGGTGCTGGGTCGCATGTAGTCAGGATGATCCCAACGTAGTGTGTGAAGTGTTCTTGCCAAGGAGATGTATTGTTGTTCCACATTGAGGTCGCCTGTGTGTCTCAGCAGTACTTCTTTCTGTATCCTGTTGAACCGTGTGTCGGTGATGCTCCGTACCCCACGAATAGGAGACCGTCTACATAGATCATGATGTAGACGTACGTAAGATCATCGCCAAAGCAATGGCAAGACCACATAGCACATATCCTCGAAGTCACACTTGAACTTGTGAGACGCGCAACAGAAATCAATGTCTCCACATTATGTGTGGGTGTGGCGGTGGCGACAGCGCCTTGTCGGTTCGAAGGCTTCGGACTGCGTTCCTTGGCTTGGCTTTCTGTCTCTTTGACATTGCGCTGCTTTTCACACCTGGTCAGAACGCAGGCTGGGCCAGGAGTTCTTTTGTTTCCAAGCACTGCTTCCAGATGGCAGGGCATCTGTGAAAGTTCTGCACAGAACCTATGATTGTAAGTCTTCCGGCGCCCAGCCCTCCAAAATTTCCAGAATTTGTTTTAGAACGCCTTCAGCAGGGTGACTTGCCCCCTCTGCTCAATCCTCAGCCAAGATGGTTGGCAACAGTCGACCAAGGTCACCGGTTCCATCCGAAACCTCTACTGATCCAGAGCCAATGGCTGTGGGTCAAAACCAATGGTACCATTTTGGGGTAGGGCGCCACCCATTTTAGTTTATTTCAGTGGGGATTGGGATGTTCACTGGGGGGTACGGGATTTTGATCCAGAGCCATATGTCATATTGCGATGAGAGCCATCGCCGCCCAACGGCGAATAACTGGCCACCGGACTTATTGGTCCTGGACCCCGACAGTCTTGCAGAGCCCCCTAAATCCCAAAAAACAACTAGAGGGAAGTTCTTCTGGCTAGAAGAGTTCTATTTTGACTTGGCCCATTTGTCATGGCCTGTTTTTGGAACTCACCACATGGGTCACTTGACACACAGTCCAAACCAACGCAAGTTGGACACGAGTTTCACACTTCTGTCCCTGTTGGTCGTTGGTGTGAAGTTTCAAAAAAGAAGATGAAATAGTGAGTTCATCAACCTTTGAGTTGGGAAAATCCAGAGTCCCCTGGCTCCATTCGTGTCCCGAAACGTAAGTGGATCCATTGTACCGCCACCCCCCCCCCCCCCCCGCCATGTGATGAGCCGCAGGAGCTGCCGGTCTTCGAGGTCTTCGAGCGCACGGGGCGCTTCCCCGAGGGCAACTTCGATGAGACCTTCTTCCCGGAGAGCCTCCACCAGGTGCGCTCGCGCGCGGGGTGGAGTCTGGGTGAATCAGAACGACCACGACCGAATTCACCCCAAATGGTGGTTCATGTGGGGAATAGCCCCCAAGCAACCTTATTTTCAGGCTGGTGAAATATTATAATTCACCTAGATGGAACGGGTGCTAGTAAAGATTGTTCTTTGAATCTGGAAGGGGATCGGCGTTCTGTTTTCTTTAGGTGTGTGTGTGTGTGTGTTACTTTGGTCTTCCTTGAAACTGAGCCCAAGTGGTTAGGGACGGCTTCCCTCAGCCACAAGATACAAGGGTGCAAACCCAATCCATTTCCCAGCAATCTAAACCACAAATCAAGTTAGCAAGTTATTGGTATCCTAGGTAACCTATTTACAACTAGGTTATAACCTAGGTTGCTAACCACTTACTAACTTGTCCGAACATCCAAGTAGAAAAGATAGTTCTTTCAAACTGGAGGTCCAAAATAATGAGCGAAAGGAGCCCAAAAATGGTTAAAATACGGGGAGCCCCAAAATGAGGAGAGGAAGGAGGTTTAAAAGAACGTTTCATTTCTTTGGTTTCAGGGGATCCCACCAAAAAAACGCTCGCATGGAATCCGTTGGGGGGATGGGATGGGGAATCAAAGGGAACAGAAACCGGGGCGTTTGGGCGCCTGTTGCCGCAGCGGAGGCTCTTCGGGAAGGGGCGTCTCAACATGTGGGGCTTGATCAGTATTCCCGGCCCTGAAATGACCATGTGTAACTTTTTCTTGTTGTGAAATATCACTCTGTGAATGGGTTCCCCTATGGTCATCCCATGTTCATTGGACCTTTTGATCCACCCTGAAACGGGCGGCGTGTGCCACTTTGGTTACCACTCGCTTGATCGAAAGGCCAGCCGGAACGGGAACCTGCCCGCGGTGCAGCTTCTGCTGGACGAAGGGGTGGATGTCAACGACCCATGGATTCGATGGATGGGTTCTGGGCGGGTCTGGTGTCCATGTGTGGGGAGGATTCTTTTTTTGAGCCATAGGGTTTGCACCGAAGGCCTCTGTTGGCGCCCCAAATGCTCAGAATTGTTAGATACCAAGCTCGGAAGGCCACCCCGCCCCCCCACGCTTTTTGGTCAGCGCGAATCTGCGGAGAGCCATGTAACATGTTAAGACGCGGGAGGAGGTGCCAGGGAAAGGCTAGTGGACAGGCCGGGTGTAACGTGTTTTATGGTCGTCATGTGTGACGGTTCTGAGTCAAATCAGGGTGCTTCTCTTCACTGGAAAGGCTACGGGGCGCAAGGGATCTTTCCCAAGTGCTTCCAAATCCAATCGGACGCTGCTCAGAAATACCCCTACTGAAAGCAAACCGTGAAATGAAAGAAACCACCCACAGCCGCCGGAGATTTGCAGCTCTCTACTTGACTCTAGCAAGCGAAAAGCTTGGTGTACACCTAAATGCACTAATAACACATGTCGTTCCCCACAAATCCTGGGAGTACTCCGCCACCAGTTCCTTGAAATTTGAACGAGGCACTGGATGAGGCTGACACGCCGGCGCTGTGCTATGCAGCGCTGCAGGGCCATTCTCGAGTAGTGGTGCTGCTGTGCCTCTCAGGCTGGCCGAAATGCACCTCTATACCGGTGTGTCTTTTTTGCAGGACCCCCAAACAAATTGTGGAGTTCCGTTTAGTACCACAACAACACGGGGGCCCCCGAAAAAAGAGAGAGAGAGAGACCCCAACATGCAGTATGTATGTGGGATGCGTCCAAACACATACAACGTATGGACGGGCAACACGTACATGTTGCCCCGACCGTTTTCGAGCGAGCTTTCAGGAAATTTGGTCGCCCTGGATTTGGTTTCCCTCTTCTCGTTCTCCTCACACCAACAAACCAATCATTTTGCAGGAGGTTTCGCTGCCAGGAATCAGTTGGGGCAGCCCGAAACTGGGAGAAATCCCTGGCGGGAGATACAGCATCGAAGAAGAGAACTGGATAAGAAGCCCGGGTGCCTCCGGGCTGGGCGCCACTACACTTGCGTAAACATATAGAAATATATATACACATATAAGTGCATATATATATATATATGTATATATTTATGTATGTTTATGTATATATGTATATATGTATATATGACATATATATGTATATATATGTACATATGTACATATGTACATATGTATATATGTATATCTGTGTGTGTGTGTGCGTGTGTGTGTGCGTGTGTGTGCGTGCGTGTGTGTGTGTGTGTGTGTGTGTGTGTGTGCGTGCGTGTGTGTGTGTGTGTGTGTGTGTGTGTGTGTGTGTGTGTGTGTGTGTGTGTGTGTGTGTGTGTGTGTGTGTGTGTGTGTGTGTGTGTGTGTGTGTGTGTGTGTGTGTGTGTGTGTGTGTGTGTGTGTGTGTGTGTGTGTGTGAGTGCGTGTGTGCGTGCGTGCGTGCGTGCGTGTGTGCGTGCGTGCGTGCGTGCGTGCGTGCGTGCGTGCGTGCGTGCGTGCGTGCGTGCGTGCGTGCGTGCGTGCGTGCGTGCGTGCGTGCGTGCGTGCGTGCGTGCGTGCGTGCGTGCGTGCGTGCGTGCGTGCGTGCGTGCGTGCGTGCGTGCGTGTGTGCGTGCGTGCGTGCGTGCGTGCGTGCGTGCGTGCGTGCGTGCGTGCGTGCGTGCGTGCGTGCGTGCGTGCGTGCGTGCGTGCGTGCGTGCGTGCGTGCGTGCGTGCGTGCGTGCGTGCGTGCGTGCGTGCGTGCGTGCGTGTGCGTGTGTGCGTGCGTGCGTGCGTGCGTGCGTGCGTGCGTGCGTGCGTGCGTGCGTGCGTGCGTGCGTGCGTGCGTGCGTGCGTGCGTGCGTGCGTGCGTGCGTGCGTGCGTGCGTGTGGTGTGTGTGTGTGCGTGCGTGTGTGTGCGTGTGTGTGTGTGTGTGTGTGTGTGTGTGTGTGTGTGTGTGTGTGTGTGTGTGTGTGTGTGTGTGTGTGTGTGCGTGCGCGTGCGCGTGCGCGTGGGCGTGCGCGTGCGCGTGCGCGTGCGCGTGGGCGTGGGCGTGGGCGTGGGCGTGGGCGTGGGCGTGGGCGTGGGCGTGGGCGTGGGCGTGGGCGTGTGTGTGTGTGTGTGCGCGTGGTTACTGAAGTATACACCCGCATACGTGAATGTGTAGATATACATAGAACTCATTCGAACACCAGACATATTTCTATGCCCACAAAGCACACGTCGCGCACAACATCCTCTTAGGCCTTCGGGTTTAGGGTGGTTAGGTTCAGGATGTTGAGAATTTTCAATTGTTCCTTTTTTGTGTTCTTTGGGCGGTTGTCACGGGTCTCTGGGGCGAATAGGGTTTTCTTTTGGGTTATATTTTTTGATGGGCTGTCCGTCTTGCCTCTTAGGCCAGGTCAGTGCCCAAAACCCTCCTGCCCAGTGAGGAGGACCCCCCCGCCCCGGACCCGGCTGGGGTGGCCCCATAGGTGCCAACATCCTGGCGGCCAACAAGGAGAAAAGCAACGCGCTGCACTTTGCGGCGGCCACGGATCAGGTGGAGGTGCTCAAGTTCCTGGTGAGCTCCTCGTTCGTTGAATCCTCGTTCCGCCGGAGTTCGCGATTTTTGGGCGCCCGCTCGCGCGTTTGTGTGCTGTAATCGTGTGTGTTTCTCTGTGGGCACTTTGTGGAAATCAACGTAGGCTAGACGTTCGCTTCATTGCCAACCAAACCTTTTCGCTCTTTGAAGTTTTGTGTTGTTGGATGTCCCTCACCGTTTTCCCCCGTATCCACACGGCTCCCCCCGTATCCCGCGGGTCCCAAGTCAGGGATCTATCGGCTCTACGGCTCTTGGAGCTGGATCGGAGCCACGGGGTCCACGTAGAGGTCGGACCTCGCCGTGGTCTTGAGAAATATGTGGAAAAGGCGCCGGAAAAACTCTTTGGCGGGTGAGTTAACGAAGTCTTTCAATGCACGCACCTTAGTTCGATGTCTTTCAAAGACTGGAGCACGAACCTTGCTGTTGGGAGAATGGAGCATCTACCTGGAGGACACGCCTCAGTTTTTGTGTTTGGTTTCTGGGGTTGCCCACAGGGTTCAAGATGTAGTTTGGGGTTGCTGGTTTCTACAGGAATCTCTCTTGTTCAAACTAAACAAAACGGGGATGGCCCACTTTATCACAAAAAAGGGGTCCCGTGTTTTTTGTGTTTGGGGGGAGGGTGTGTGTGTGTGTGTGTGTGTTTTTGTTTTGCGGTGCTTCGTCACTTTGCGCCCTTGTCGGTTCATGGTCTTCGTACTTTTTTGTCCCGGCTTGTGGTTTGGGAGAAGGCGTGGTCTCAATGGGGCGGTAGTTTGAGTCGACGGATTCGTTGGGAGATTTGGATTTGATGCCTGCCAGCATTTGGAGCTTTCAGTTGGGGGCGCATCTCATGGTTTGGCGCTGTCTTTTTCGCGGGCATCTCTTTGTTTTGCTTTCCCGAGTTCCTCTTCGTTGGGCAAATCTTCCAGCTTTGGATGCCAAGGCTATGGCAAGGCGAACTACAAGGAGTTTGATCAGGACTGGGGATGCCTGGGCGAACCTCTTGACGATCGCTAGCCGCGAGCCTCTTTTTTTGTTTTTGGCATGAGTTCCCACAAGCCACAAGACGCTAAAAAGGCCCCAGTGATTGAGAATTCTAGCGCCCACTTCGTGCGCACACTGAGCTTCAGCCAGACAATCAAAGCTGGCGGACCTCTCAAATTCGCATTGGTGGCAACGTGAAGCAAAGCCTCACTCTCAGCGCCATCGCGCCCATAGACTCATCCCAAGATCCCACCCCTGACGCCTTGCGCAAGGATGTGGGTTGAAATCGTCATCCCCCTTCCTTAGTCACAGAAGGGAAAAGCATGCATCGCCGGGATCATTGAGCCAGTTTGCTTGCCAGGCAAGTGAATAGGCTCTCGTTCTCTTCACTGCAGAGAACGCCTGGCAGGTACTCGTGGCAAGTGAGGCGTGGTGATCCCATCCGAATGTCATTATCGAAACCCATCCACAGATCCTGCCTGTCGAGGTGAATGCATCTTCCGGACAAACTGGAACGAGCTCGCTGCAGGGGAAAACCGAGCCCACCCATGGTGAAGATCCCTGTACTGGCAGGGTTTCCGTATTTCGGGCTTCGTTGTCAAGTGCCTAGATCTTTGCAACCCGGAGTTGTCGTTTGGGCTCAGCGGATACTCCAGTCAGACAGAATATTTCTTCTTAGGCGATTTCCAAAGACCCTAGCCGGTCAACGGGCGGAAGTGACAAGCGCAGTGAGGTTGACAGGCCTGGGACACCCTTTTACGTGTATTTGCGCGCACCTGCGTGGAACTTCAAGAAGCGCAACTTTTGTTTGGGGAGTGTTTGGGTCTCTGGTTTTTTGTTCTCATCGCCGCTTTGTTCTGCTTGATTTTGCATTGGTAACATTTTAGCCGGACCGGGCACCCGAATCATTCCCGTCCCATCGCGCTGCTTCTTTTTTTGCACGTCATCTGATTTGGTGAGGAAGGCGTCCCTTCCGTCCATCCCCCCCTTTTTTCCCAACCCCGGTCTTTTGAACGACCCTGGATTCGCGACCTTTCCGCAGGATGCGTGGCTGGAGATGCGCACCGCGCAGGGCTTGACCATCCGGGACTTGGCGGAGAAGGTGGCGAGGGAGGAGGGCCACCGCCAGGTGCTCGAATTCCTCCAGGCGCCAGCGAGAGCCACGTGCTCAAAACCGAAGCTCGGGGTAGATGCAGGTTAAGTTCTGGCTGGTGCGATAGGTAGGGAATGCGGGAATGAACCCAGGGGTCCCCGAAGAATGGAAACGACCAGTTGGAGAGTTTATAAGGTTCATGCCCTCATTCCCTGAGCACCAGCAATCCCCCTGCCATAAATGGGTGCGAATACCCTTGAAGTAATCCTTTGCATTCTGGGTAGAACATTGTAAGAACGGGTTTTGATGCTGACTCAGGTGTTCACCTGGCGAATTGACCTGAAACGCTCGTGTTTGTTATTATTATTTTTTAGAAGGAAGCCAATTTGTTGGAGCCCATTCCGGCCAGTCCTATCCTTGCCCGGTTTTCACTCCCTAAGGATTTGGGGGAGGGCGACCCCCGGCGGGTCTGGAGCCTCCAAACACGCGGCAGAATCGAGACACGCGAAATGCTCCTCGTGCCCCACAACGATGACGCCAGAACCCAGAAACGCTTGTCTTACCCCGGTGAGCGGTTTTGAGTTGGTGATTAGAAACAAATCACCCGAGGGTCCAGGTCCCTTTCAGAAGAAGATGGACTATCTGCGAGGTGAACCGGCTCGAAAAAGAGTGTCCGAAACCCTCTTGGCGGTCGGCTCAGGGACTTTCCCGGGAAAAAGGTAGGATGATTGAGAACCTGCATGCCTTAGTTGTGAAAAAGGTTAAGTTGTGTTTGTTTGTTGCTCTTTCCCTTTTTCAATGAACCGATGGAGTTCAAAAGGCATCCCTTTCCCCAGTTATTCAAGCACCCGCAGTCTCGGCCTTTCCAGCAGGAGCTCGAGCAGGCGCCGAGCGCGCCAACGCCGGTGCTTGCGGAAGCGGCGGCTCGGTGCAAACATGGCTTGGATTGTGGCTTCATTCGGGGTTTGGCTTGATTTTCTTGTTTGGTCTCGATTCATCTTGATTCATCTTTGATCCATCTTTGATGCATCTTGATTCATCCTTGATTTATCTTTGATTCATCTTTGATTCATTTTGATTCATGATTGATTCATGTTGATTCATCTTGATTCATCTTTGATTCATCTTGATTCATCTTTGATTTCTCTTTGACTTCTCTTTGATTCATCTTTGATTCATCTTTGATCCAGCTTGATTCGTCTTGATTCATCTTGATTCATCTTGATTTATCTTTGATTCATCCTAATTTTTCTTGATTCATCTTGATTTTTCATTGATTCATATTTGATTCATCATGTATTCATTCAGATTTGTTTGATTTGATTGATTTGGAGCCATGTTTGATTCGTGTTTGATTCATCTTGATTCATCTTTGATTCATTTTTGTTTCATCTTTAATTCATTTTGATTTATCTTTGATTCATAATTGATTCGTCTTGATTTATCTTAATTTATCTTGATTCGTCTTGCTTCGTCTTGATTCATCTTGATCCGTCTTTGATTCATTTCTGATTCATCTTTGATTCATTTTGATTTATCTTTGATTCATATTTGATTCGTCTTGATTCATTTTGGTTTATCTTGATTCGTCTTGATTCGTCTTGATTCGTCTTGGTTCATCTTGATTCATCTTTGTTTCATTTTTGATTCATGTTTGATTCATCTTGATTCATCTGATTCATCTTTGATTCATTTGTGATTCATCTTGGATTCATCTTTGATCCATCTTGAAACATGTTGATTCATTTTGATTCATCTTGACTCGTCTTGATTCATCTTAATATATCTTGATCCATGATTGATGTTTGTTTGATTCATCTTTGATTTTTCGTGATTCATCTTTGATTCAGCTTGATTCGTCGTGATTCATCTTGATTCATCTTTGATTCATCTTCTTTCATCTTGATTCGTCTTGATTCATCGTGATTCATCTTGATTTATCTTTGATTTATCATCTTTGATTCATCTTTGATTTATCTTTGATGTATCTTTGATTCGTCTTGATTCGTCTTGATTCATCTTTGATTCATGTTTTTCATCTTTGATATTTTTCTTGACTCATCTTTGATTCATCTTTGATTTATCTTTGATTCATCTTTGATTCAGCTTGACTCATGTTTGATTTATCCTGTTTCATCTTTGATTCATCTTTGATATATCGTGATTCATCTTTGATTCATCTTTGATTCATCTTTGGTTCATATTTGATTCGTATTGATTCATCTTGAATTATCTTGATTCGTCTTGATTCTTTTTGATTCATCGTGATTTTTCTTTGATTCATTTTTGATTCATCTTGATTCATCTTGATTCATCTTGATTCATCTTGATTTATCTTGATTCGTGTTGATTCGCCTTGATTCATGTTGCTTCATCTTGATTCATGTTGATTCATTTTTGATTCAATTTTATGTATCTCTGATTTATCTTGATTCATCTTCGATGTATCTTGATTCGTCTTGGTTCATCTTGATTCACTTGATTCATCTTTGATTTATCTTTGATTCATCTTTGTATCTTGATTCATCTTGGTTCTTCTTCGATTTATTGGATTCATCTTATGTATTTTTGATTCATGTTGATTCATTCTTGATTCATCTGTTCTTCATCTATGATTCATCTTTGATTCATGTTGATTTATCGTGATTAATCTTTGATTTATCTTGATTCATCTTTGATTCATCTTCGATTCATCTTGAATCATGTTGATTCATCTTGATTCGTCATGATGCATCTTTGATTCATGTTGATTCATCTTTGATTCATCTTTGATTCATCTTGATTCGTCTTTGATTCATCTTTCATTCCTTTTGATTCATACTTGATTCTTGACTCATCTTTGATTCATCTTGATTTATCCTGATTCATCTTGATTCATCGTTGATTCGTCTTTGATTCATCTCTGGTTCATCTTTTATTCATCTTCACTCATCTTTGATTCATCTTTGATTCATCTTTGATTCATCTTTGAATCATCTTGATTCATGGCTGATTTATGCTTGTTTCATCTTGATGATTCATCTTTGATTCATCTTTGATTTATCTTTGATTCATCTTTGATTCATGTTTGATTCATGTTTGATTCCTCTTGATTCATCCTTGACTCATTTTGATTCGTCTTGATTCATCTTGATTCATCGTGATTTGTCTTTGATTCATATTTGATTCATCATGATTCATGTTGATTTGTGTTGATTCATCTTGATTCATCTGGATGCATCTTTGATCAACTTGATTCATCTTGACTCATTTTCATTCATCTTGGATTCATCTTAATTCATATTATCCATCTGGATTCAACTTGATTCGTCTTGATTTATCTTTGGTTCATCTTGTTTCATCTAGATCCATCTTTGATTCGTCTTTGATTCGTCTCTGATTCATCTTTGATTCATCTTGATTCAGCTTTGGTTCATCTTTGATTCATCTTGATTCATCCTTGATTCATCTTGATTCATCATTGATGCATCGTTGATTCACTTTTGGTTCATTTGGATTCCTCTTGATTCATCTTGGTTCATTTTGATTGGATCATCTTTGATTCGCTTGTGGTTCATTTTGATTCCTCTTGATTCATCTTGATTCATTTTGATTCATCCAAGTGGAACCAGAGGGCGCTTCACCTTACTCGCTTATTGCGAGGCGGCCGTGACTTCCGCCCGGGCTGTCGACTGAGCGCTCGCTCGCGCCGAGCGCCTGGCAAAGCTCCTACGTCGCGTGAGAGGAATGGACCCGCCCTGCTGAGGGTGGTTGCGGTAGCCACTCGTGTTTTTTTTCTTGTTCTTTTTTCTTTTTGCGTTGCCAGAGGAATCCTCAGGCATGGCTCCTGCTTCCATTTTCTGATTTTCCTTTTTTTGTGTGAAAGGGAATCTATCACTACTGTTTGGTTATTTATTCAAGGGGATTAAGCAAATGGAAGTCTGACATTGCCGATCCCAGATTTTATCAACTGCTAACCGCGTTTAAGCGGTCGCAGAAAGCCACAACTACAATGCTGCGGAGCTGTAGCTTGAAGAAACAAGTCTTTTGCCAACTGACACCGAGCACGACTTGCCTCGTCAGTCATGTTGTTCTCAAGGATGTCGTGGTTTGAAGAGGATGCAGTGATATTGGAGGCAAATCCCCCAAGTCTTGTACAGTCCTTACTGGATGACAGGAACAATGCCCATGAACAGTCAGGCCGCGGATGTGGGATGGATGTAACTCGAGATGTTCTGAATCCACTTGGCACCCACCATCCACCTCTAGCAGTGCTGGAAATGGTACCCGGGTAGGGGAAGAGGAGCAAGAGCCCGTGGATTCAATCACTCCTTTAGAGAATTTCCCAGTGCTGACTTGAGCTGAAGCCCGAAAGACATGCTAATGTGATGGACTCTGCTTGATGTTGCTTCGCAGCTCTTGACTCGTTTGCCTTGACTCCGGCCAGTGCCCCGTTACCTCGTGCAATGGCGAAGGCAAGCAAGATGCTCGTGGTTGCAGCGGCCGTGGCGGCCTACTGCGGCTGGCAGAGTGCATTCGTGCCGCCCCCCACGGGCCGGCAGGTGCCAGTTGCCGCTGCTGCAGGTGCCGCGGCCATGCTGGGCACTGCGCCCGCGTATGCCGACAAGATCGACGACGCGGCCAAGGTTCTCAGTGAGAAGAGCTACCCATTTTTGAAGGACTGAAAGCATGAAACTGCATGGGTTCTGTCGTTGTTTGGCCGTGTCTGTGTTTCTTTGCGTGTCTGTGTGCGAGCACTTTGCTATTTTTTCTTGGCGATTGATTGAACTTGAGCATACTTTGCGTGCTTGGAGCGGACTGCACAATGCTGCCTCGCAAGTTGATACGGTGGTTCTTAATGTTACTTTCGATAGTCGTTCTGCCACGGACATGACATTTGACACGTTGTTTCTGAGCAGGAACGGACTGCATGATACTCATAGCGGCTTGTTGTGTTCAGAGGAGATCGACTGGACTGATGGCGTCTACGGAGTGCTGCCCACCGCCAAGCCCTTGGAGGTGTTGAAGGCCATCGATAAGATGTTGGTCATGGGCGCCGCGATGGACCCGGAGGCTCTGAAGGCTGGCGTGTTGGCCCACAGCAAGGCCATCAAGAGCATTGACGGCAAGGGCGTAACCACCCTTGCGGACTACACTGCCACCAACGCCGCCATTGGCCACATGATTGCGTCCGTTCCGGCCTCCAAGACCATGGACGTGTACAACGCCTTCAACAAGTTCAGCCTGGGCAAGGATGTGGGCCCTTACATGATGTCCAAGGTGAGTGCCGAGGATGCCAAGGCTGCCTACAAGGCATTCCTTGAGTTCAAGGATGTGGTCAAGGCTTCCCAGCGCTGAGCCAGAAGGCTTCCTGGAATTCGCGGCCATGCCGCGTATTCTGTCGACTTCCTTTAGTTTGTATAGTTTCTTGGTCGTTTGAGCCTCGTTTGGAACCCCCAGGCACCCAGGCTCAAATGATATTGTTGATCGTATACTTTATCAATTCCTGTTAGTTGCGTTGTGGTCGGTGACAAAGCTACGACAGCAATGCTGCGGAGACGTAGCTTGAAAAAGGTCCTCCTTTGCCGACTGACTCCGAACACGATTTGCCTCGTCAAGCATTTTGTTGCGGTAGAAAATCGATCACTGAGGGTCCGTGCTTGGTGCCAGAAGGCGCTTGTCCTCAAGATTTTAAGAGGATGCCATCATTTTTGATCCAGAATCACCTTATTTTTGCTTGATGCGGGCAGTAGTGCGCTTTGTGGTCGCTCCTGATATTGGAGGCAACTCCCTTTAGTTTGTACAGTCCTTACTGGATGCCAGGAAGGGCTTTCATTGAAGGACTTCTACTGGACTGCCCTAATGTGATAGACTCTGCTTGATGTTGCTTCGCAGCTCTTGACTCGTTTGCCTTGACTCCGGCCAGTGCCCCGTTAGCTTGTGTCAGCAATGACGAAGGCAAGCAAGATGCTCGTGGTTGCAGCGGCCGTGGCGGCCTACTGCGGCTGGCAGAGTGCATTCGTGCCGCCCCCCACGGGCCGGCAGGTGCCAGTTGCCGCTGCTGCAGGCGCCGCAGCCATGCTGGGCACTGCGCCCGCGTATGCCGACAAGATCGACGACGCGGCCAAGGTTCTCAGTGAGAAGAGCTACCCATTTTTGAAGGACTGAAAGCATGAAACTGCATTGGTTCTGTCGTTGTTTGGCCGTGTCTGTGTTTCTTTGCGTGTCTGTGTGCGAGCACTTTGCTATTTTTTCTTGGCGATTGATTGAACTTGAGCATACTTTGCGTACTTGGAGCGGACTGCACAATGCTGCCTTGCAAGTTGATACGGTGGTTCGTAATGTTGCTTTCGATAGTCGTTCTGCCACGGACGTGACATTTGACATGTTGTTTCTGAGCAGGAACGGACTGCATGATACTTATAGCGGCTTGTTGTGTTCAGAGGAGATCGACTGGACTGATGGCGTCTACGGAGTGCTGCCCACCGCCAAGCCCTTGGAGGTGTTGAAGGCCATCGATAAGATGTTGGTCATGGGCGCCGCAATGGACCCGGAGGCTCTGAAGGCTGGCGTGTTGGCCCACAGCAAGGCCATCAAGAGCATTGACGGCAAGGGCGTAACCACCCTTGCGGACTACACTGCCACCAACGCCGCCATTGGCCACATGATTGCGTCTGTTCCGGCCTCCAAGACCATGGACGTGTACAACGCCTTCAACAAGTTCAGCCTGGGCAAGGATGTGGGCCCTTACATGATGTCCAAGGTGAGTGCCGAGGATGCCAAGGCTGCCTACAAGGCATTCCTTGAGTTCAAGGATGTGGTCAAGGCTTCCCAGCGCTGAGCCAGAAGGCTTCCTGGAATTCGCGGCCATGCCGCGTATTCTGTCGACTTCCTTTAGTTTGTATAGTTTCTTGGTCGTTTGAGCCTCGTTTGGAACCCCCAGGCACCCAGGCTCAAATGATATTGATCGTATACTTTATCAATTCCTGTTAGTTGCGTTGTGGTCGGTGACAAAGCTACGACAGCAATGCTGCGGAGACGTAGCTTGAAAAAGGTCCTCCTTTGCCGAGTGACTCCGAACACGATTTGCCTCGTCAAGCATTTTGTTGCGGTAGGCAATCGATCACTGAGGGTCCGTGCTTGGTGCCAGAAGGCGCTTGTCCTCAAGATTTTAAGAGGATGCCATCATTTTTGATCCAGAATCACCTTTTTGCTTGACGCGGGCAGTAGTGCGCTTTGTGGTCGCTCCTGATATTGGAGGCAACTCCCTTTAGTTTGTACAGTCCTTACTGGATGCCAGGAAGGGCTTTCATTGAAGGACTTCTACTGGACTGCCCTAATGTGATAGACTCTGCTTGATGTTGCTTCGCAGCTCTTGACTCGTTTGCCTTGCCTCCCTCCGGCCAGTGCCCCGTTACCTCGTGCAATGGCGAAGGCAAGCAAGATGCTCGTGGTTGCAGCGGCCGTGGCGGCCTACTGCAGCTGGCAGAGTGCATTCGTGCCGCCCCCCACGGGCCGGCAGGTGCCAGTTGCCGCTGCTGCAGGCGCCGCAGCCATGCTGGGCACTGCGCCCGCGTATGCCGACAAGATCGACGACGCGGCCAAGGTTCTCAGTGAGAAGAGCTACCCATTTTTGAAGGACTGAAAGCATGAAACTGCATTGGTTCGTGTCTGTGTTCGAGCACTTTGCTAACCTTTCTTGGCGATTGATTGAACTTGAGCATACCTTGCGTACTTGGAGCGGACTGCACAATGCAGCCTTGCAAGTTGATACGGTGGTTCGTAATGTTACTTTCGATAGTCGTTCTGCCACGGATGTGACATTTGACACGTTGTTTCTGAGCAGGAACGGACTGCATGATACTCATAGCGGCTTGTTGTGTTCAGAGGAGATCGACTGGACTGATGGCGTCTACGGAGTGCTGCCCACCGCCAAGCCCTTGGAGGTGTTGAAGGCCATCGATAAGATGTTGGTCATGGGCGCCGCGATGGACCCGGAGGCTCTGAAGGCTGGCGTGTTGGCCCACAGCAAGGCCATCAAGAGCATTGACGGCAAGGGCGTAACCACCCTTGCGGACTACACTGCCACCAACGCCGCCATTGGCCACATGATTGCGTCCGTGCCGGCCTCCAAGACCATGGACGTGTACAACGCCTTCAACAAGTTCAGCTGGGCAAGGATGTGGGCCCTTACATGATGTCCAAGGTGAGTGCCGAGGATGCCAAGGCTGCCTACAAGGCATTCCTTGAGTTCAAGGATGTGGTCAAGGCTTCCCAGCGCTGAGCCAGAAGGCTTCCTGGAATTCGGAGCCATGCCGCGTATTCTGTCGACTTCCTTTAGTTTGTATAGTTTCTTGGTCGTTTGAGCCTCGTTTGGAACCCCCAGGCACCCAGGCTCAAATGATATTGTTGATCGTATACTTTATCAATTCCTGTTAGTTGCGTTGTGGTCGGTGACAAAGCTACGACAGCAATGCTGAGGAAACGTGGCTTGAAAAAAGTCCTCCTTTGCCGACTGACTCCGCACACGATTTGCCTCGTCAAGCATTTTGTTGCGGTAGGCAATCGATCACTGAGGGTCCGTGCTTGGTGCCAGAAGGCGCTTGTCCTCAAGATTCTTGTGGCTTTTTAAGAGGATGCCATCAAGTTTGATCCAGAATCACCTTTTTGCTTGACGCGGGCAGTAGTGCGCTTTATGGTCGCTCCTGATATTGGAGGCAACTCCCTTTAGTTTATACAGTCCTTACTGGATGCCAGGAAGGGCTTTCATTGAAGGTCTTCTACTGGACTGCCCTAATGTGATGGACACTGCTTGATGTTGCTTCGCAGCTCTTGACTCGTTTGCCTTGACTCCGGCCAGTGCCCCGTTGCCTCGTGTCAGCAA